AATCACCATCAATTAAATTCCTAAATATTTGAAACTACGTTCACCCCTTTTATTCCCTTTCAAACGTAGGCAGTCTAGTTAAACTAGGCACAATCAAAAATTCAAAACAACTTCAAATAAATTTCAAATTCTTCCTCTGAATTACATTCGACTTGATTCCCTTTCAGATACGTAGACAATCTAGTTAAAATAGGCGCGGTCGCAAGTCAATTTAACTTCAAATAAATTCCAAATTCTTATTTTGAACTACGTTAGACTTGATTCCACTTGTTGAATACGTAAGCAATCCAGTATCTACACTGGGCACTGTCATACTCCTAAAAAAATTTCAAAATTCTTTTCATAAACTACGTCTGACTTGATTTTCTTTCAAATACGTAGGTAGTCTAGTTAAACTAGGCACAGTCACAACTCCTCCACAATCAAGTGTTCCTTAAACCATATCAATTCAAATGGTCATTTACCCATTTCAAACATAATGGACTTTTTGTCCATTCAAGATCAATGGGTCATCTACCCGTCTATCTTATCCCAAAAATAATTTAATCTCCTCGAACTACGAATCATCTTGATCCCGAAAATGGGTATGTTGAGCAGCCTAGGCAATTAACCTAGGCCTAGCCACTATCACAAATTAAATGCCCTTATGGTGTAAATGGTAACGTGTGATAATTTTTCATTACAATCAAAAGGTGTTCTCTTAAAGCAAGAGATTATAATTAACGGATATATACTATATGGAATGGTCTAACCTACATTTAATAAAACTCGTATAATTCTTTGTTATATGAATGAAGTCATGTTTGGAAAAATATTCAAATTTTTGCTCAACATGATTTTTGGCATGCCCAGTGGGACCCATTTTTCCTTTCCTCTCTAACTTTAAAAGTTAATTAGTGCGTTATTTTTGTTGCCTTAACAAGTTCATAATGGCACCACTAGTAACTATTTACTACCACAAACTACCTTCATCAATGCAAGTTCATGGCAAAAATTCAAAGAAGGCGACTTATCGTGCATCTTTCAAGATTGATCAATCAGCAATCTCTAGAGCAATTCCAAAAATCAATGTTGGGATCCAAGGGAGGAAAACACCAAAGCTACACCTAAGAAGGCTATCAAAGTCATGCCAACAATTGCTAAGGCTACCCATATGGAGGTTCTAGAAATCACCCTAGTCTGTCAGCCTACTCAAATTTTGATTGGAACCATACCGATTAATTTGCCTTATACTGTATCAGTGATGGCAACTTCCGTGAAAAGCAAGGAGGGTACTCCTCCTTCTACGCCAAGGGTGAAAGCTCCTAAGGCTTCTTAGGATAGGCTACCCTGCAATCTACTGTTACTAGTCAATAAAGCTTACATCTCTAGTACAAATTAGACCAAGAACAGTTGAGTTTGGTTCACCATCTGCATCTACTAAAGGAAAGAGTCCAAAACTTTCCTATTCCAAAAGTCAGGAATCAAATTCGAATATTTCCATCAAGGTCTTTTCTAAAAGGAACCCTTCTAAGAAGAGGGGACCAAGAAGCAATCAAGGGGCCCAAAGACCCAATCTATACCTAAAGCTTCTCTATTTCCATTGACTGCCATAAGTGCAGAGCGATTCAAGAATGCACATTCAGACATGGAAGCTCAAAAATGGGCTTTTCTTTCTGCATACACGTATGCCAGGGAAGCTCACATTTCATTCGGGCAGACCACTCCTCAAGGGAAGGCACACAAATTTACACAGGGCCTATTGACTTGATCCGAAATGTGTACACCCAAGTGCAAGCGGTCAAGCTGTAGTAATAATTCGATTAAGTCCAAAGTCGAATTCACAGGGAACTATGATTGGCATTTTGAAGTGAATAGTAATAGAGATCAAGTAACTGGAAACTTTGAGAGTTTGAAGTTATGAGATTTTCTGAATAGAATATAAGACTCTTTCCAATAGTTTTCTAGACAAAATATAAGATAAATTCAAATGTGAAAGAGTCACTTTTTAGCTTGAGGACCAGAATATGTAAGTAATCATCTGGTTTGTTATACTTGTGCTTTATAACTCAATTAACTCTCGTGTCAATTGCAAGTTAATCGAAAGATAAAGATGGACTGTGTGAATTAAGCACATGGTTCTGATGCCTTCTTAGAAGTTTATAAGAATTGTCTGTGCTGAGACTCAACCCGTCTATAAATAAGCAAGTGTTTCTATAAGGCATCCAACCATGACATTAATGTTCCATTCTTTAAATAAAGCACAATAATGGTGAAGATTGAAATGTTGTCATGAAGATCTAGTCGGGGTACTTGCCTTGAACCAACGAGTCTTTCTATGCAAGAGTCATTTGTGACATAGAGAGACCTCACAGTTATACAAAGTACCTTAGCTTTGCTAGATACATTCAATCATTCAATGAGCAAGTGAAATATAAAGCATTAAAGCATAAACGTAATGCACATATATAACTTTTAGATAATTTATACATATTCATCACCTCTCACTAAAGAGTGAATAAGGAACTACTCACTCTTCATGACTTTGGTAAAGCTAGAAAAGTTAGTGATACTCATCTCTCCAAGTGGAGAACTTACAAGATAATGTGCAATAAGTATGAGCCGATCTTCAACGAAGAATGAGTGAATCACGTTCCACCCTTCACGGCTTTGATAAAGCTTTAGAAAAGTGGAAGAATTTCACCCTTTTAAAAAAGAAGGAAGCTCAAGCAATGGAAGTGAAAGACATAAACAATGAAAGTAGAAAAAAACTAGTCACTTTTAGAGGGTGGCTTCCTCAACCAACAAAAGGAGGGTTGTTTCCTCAACCAACAAGTGAAGGGTTGCTTTCTCAACCAAAAGATGGACTAACTCTCTTGATACAAGTAAGTATAACATACATCTAAGACTAGCTGCATGAGTGGGAGTCTAAGCCTCCATCAAATCTCTCTACCAAAGTCCCCCTTCAATCTCCCACAATGGGAGTACCCACAATGGGAGTATTTATAGGCAAGGAAGAGGAAGGGGTGGTGAAAGAATAGTGTATGCCGCCCATGTCCAAGTGAAAACCAACCACTCTGCAGTCTGTCTGTGGAGAACGTTCGAACATGAGTTGGAATTTGAATGTGATTTCTGTTTTTGCTTTATGGACGTTCAAACATTGTATAGTGTTCAAACGTTTCTTTTGTCTTTGTTTTATGGGCATTTAAATGTCAGATGGGATTTGAACCTCTCACTCAAGTGGCCTATGGTCTTTTGTGGAAACCTATTTCCACACTCTATGCAGAACTTGGCACTTTGAACTCATCACCCTAGTGTTCAATCAATTCAATTGGACGTTCGAACGTGAGTTGGCATTCGAACGTGGTACTCAAGTACTTCAAGGTCTTCCTTCTTGGCTGCAACATACCATGCCTCAACAATTTGGTCTTTCATAGTTCAAGTGGACGTTCGAACGTGAGTTGGCGTTCAAACATTTTTGCTTTGTTCCAAGCTTCTCCAATTTTTTCCCCAATATGCTGGTGTTACATTCAAGTGTGATTTTTGTTATTCTTGAGCTCTTGTTCACTTTAGGACTTGAAATGTCATCACTTAAACTCCATCAAAGTACAATTAGTCCTAAAAAGGCATAGTAATATGCTAATTTTAAGTACTAATCACCTAGCACCCGATCAAGAGCTCAGATAATGTCTCACTTTTCTTTCGAGGAATCTGCGACCGCAGATGAGTCCGTAACAACTGAACATGATTACTCATCATCACAAGCTATCTCAAAGGAATCAATAGCATCAAATTGACATGAACAACCCATCAGCTCAATGTCAAGTTCAAATAATCCTCTTTATGGAGATCCTAAAGCTTTCTTCCAAGAAGAGGATTTTCTGGATGAGTTGGGACATCAGTTCCAAGAAAAACTAAAAATTGATCAAGAATTTGACTCAAAGGATGTGCCAGTTCTTGTTACAGGAACATCAAGCATTGAGGAGCAGTTAAATGAGATGTAGAGAAAATTGGCAAAAAAAGACGTTGAGATAGTTGCCCTCGCAACTCAAGTGGCTAGCCAAGCTAGTGCCTCAGCACGAGAACATGTTCAAACCATTGAAGAGCCTCAAATTTCTACAGTGCCAGTTACTCAGGCAGATTTGAAAACATTAATTGCTAACAGAATTCGAGAATTCCAAGCATTCATGAATCCACCAGTGCTTAGGTATCGTAGGCCATATCCTAGTCATTACGATACCATCTCATTTCCTTATGGTTATTCGAAACCAAACTTTGAAAAATTTGATCGGATTAATGGGTCACCCCAAGAGCATCTCGCTCACTTTTATTCAACATGTGGGGAGTCAGCCTTATCTGATGCATTCACTTGGTACACTCAATTACAGCCAGGTTCGATCATCACATGGGATGATATGCAAGGGCATTCTTAGCCCAATTTGTTAGTTTAAAGAAGAAAATCTCAAGAATTGACCTTGGAGATGCTAAGCAAAGGACAAATGAAAGTGTTAATGACTTCATTACAAGGTGGAGAAGTCTTCACCTTCAATGCTCTGAAAAGCTAAGTGAATAATCTTCAATTCAAATGTGTTCCAATAATTTGCTTCCAGAGATTGCAACATTTGTAGGCACAGAAGAACCTCAGTCATTTGATGCTCTCGCCTCCAAGGCTAGTAATGTTGAAAGACAAATAGCTCGACAAAAGAATGTGCCTCAAAAGTCTCGAATGACTCAAGAAAAGAACTTTGATAGTGAAAATCCTGTAAATAAAAAAGAGGCCATGCCTACTTTTCTCAAAGTCGACAAAAAGAAAGGAAATGACAAAAGAAAAGAAATCTCCCAAAAAGGAAAAGAAACTTCCAGAAATCTGTCTTTAAAAGAAAGGAAAGAAGTCAAATACACTTTTGAAGATGATGATGTCGAATAGATTTTTAATTCCTTGTCGAAGGCTAAGGCAATAGAATTACCAGAGCCTAAGCAACCGTCCAAGGTTAACAAGACCGATGATCCAAAATTTTGTTGGTACCATTGGATTGTGAGTCATTCTCTAAAGGATTGTTATGTTATTAAGAATATTATTCAAGCAATGGTGAATAAGGGAGACATTGAAATACAAGAGTCCTCCACTGCTGCCACTTCAAATAATATTTCCCTAATTGAAAATGAGTCCATCCCCACTGTCATGCTACCAAAGGGGCAATCTTAGTTGCTTTTGTTGTCAACGGTGAGGTTACCTATCGGTATGCTTATCCAGACATGCTATGTTCAAAAAACTGACAATTCCAACACTTTATGAGCTTATGACAGAACCAAATTTGGATTGTTGGAGCGATTCTTGTGAATCAGGAGTTGAAAATGGAAATGAGTGGCAAACATATGTTATCAAGAGGACTAAAAAGAGGACAAATACTTTATTCCCTAGTGTCGAACCTTCAGGCTGCCCTGGAATAAAGTTTTGAGGTAAAAAGGTGGATAAGAAAAACAAGAAAAAGAAAACAAAGACTCAAAAGAAAACTCAAGTCCATTTGGAGGATGAGTATGTCCAGCCTGAGAGAGTACCAATTACTCTCGAAGAGTATTTACCCACCGAATTCGTCGAAGATGAAGATGTTGAAGAAGAAATGGTGATGCAATGTTGCATGGCCACATTCGAGAAAGGTGATTTCTTTGACCCCGAGGTCAACGAGATTACCTTACGTTCTGGATGACACCTTTTTGTCACCTCCAAAAGCTCTACCAAATAAAAAGGTTGTAAAACCCTCACCTTTAGTCCTCGAGGTCAAGCACCAAAAGAATCATCTAAAAATAAGGAAGCTATTAAGCCTAGAGGTAACCAAGAGGCAGCAAAGCAATGCTCTAGAAATACATCATCTCCTGTGAAGGTTAAATATGATGTCCTCGCACATCTGAAATGCATTCTAGCACTTTTAAATGTATATGATGCTCTACAGCTATCTAGAGAGCTTAGAAAAGCGTTAATTCAAGCATTGACGAGTCCTCATCTCTACATTGACAATGTTGAACCAGGAGATGCTCAACACTTACTAAAGGTATGTGCTTCATGTATGGCTTGCATTACCTTCACCGATGATGATATTCAGTTGGGGGTGGAATATCATAACCGTCCTCTTTATGTCATCGGCAAAATTGGAGACACTTAAGTGAATCAAATTATGCTTGACTGTGGTTCAGTTGTAAATCTGTAATGCCCCAAAAACCACTCTGGAAGGCATTACCTTCTAAAATCATTCATACCATGAGAACAACTAATAAAATTCGTAAATAACCAGGGGTCCTTAATTTAATAACATTTTGGGCAGAGTCTTCTTTGTTCAAGGAGCTCTTCCCAAAACACAACCTGTAAAATTATACTATATTAACCACACCGGGTCCATTTATCCATAAAATATTTACAACATTATCCAAAAGAATAAGCTCAAACCAGGGCTACTACATCAAAAGAATTATATTTGAACTTAGCAACGGAATAAACAAAATATTAGACTTTACATGATTGTACATAATCGTTCCTAGTCTAGCACAAAAATAAACGACATCTCTAAATGTCCCACTCGGGATCCAAGTACCCCTCTAATGAAGCTTCTTCATGGCCCGGCTCGTTAGCACCGAGCTCCTCCTCTGGCCCATAATTTGTAAAATGTTTAATTGTAGAGGGTGAGCACGAAGCTCTGTAGAAAAATCCTCCTAAACTCGAACAAAATTTAGAAAACAGATAAAAATCGGTCAGTCTCATTTCGTAAATAACATATATCAATTTTTAAGGAAAAACAGGACATTTTAAATAGATCCCCAGTTTAAACCGTAACAATAATCAAGTGAAAGGATAAAGTAAATTTCACAATAATATACCATTTTCAAATTTAGGTCATTTAGGAAGGGCACCTTGCGATGCATTGTCCTATGCCAATGCACTGGCAAGACGTTCCAACTCATCATTCCATGTATTTTGCTTCATCCCCTTATCTTGTATGTTGATTGCTTCTCATGAATCTACCCAACGATTATACCTAGTCCACCAATCACAATCACGATCACAATCACAAGCACTTTAGGAAAGGGCGTCTACCATCTCAATGGCAGTAACGAGTCCCTTCCCAGGAAAAATATATCATCCCTTGTTCGAACTCCAGTGAACGATAGTGGTCGCATTACCAAATGACAACCCACTACAAGTGTTAGGAAATCATCTCACCCCCACTGGGATAGACTAACCTCTAACACTCTACAGCATCTCTCGATGGCAATCCAAGTCCATCACAACAACCATATAAATGAGGAAATCAAAATATTCTCAATTCACCAACAATTTCAAATAAATACAAAATCCACAATTTCTCATTTTACAAGCATATCTCAAAAATCTCTAAATTTATCATGTAACAATTCCAATAACCAATTAAGAAAAAATACAAGAGATCACAACAACATCATTTATTACTCAACACGAAGCACTAAAGTTTTAGAAATCAAGAACAAATGAATATTAAGAGAAAAATCCATCTCTCATGAGAACAAGGGTTTTCAAAATAAGAAATAGAGGTTTCATGGCAATCCAACCATAGCCTTGTTTTAAACATGATAATATTTACAAGAATATCAAACATCAAAGATTTACTAACACATATCTAAGATTTAGAGTCAAAAACATATATATATATATATATATATATATATATATATATATATATATAACCTTAGCCTCAATGAACAAGAGTGAGAGAAACCCCTACTTTGAATCAAAAATTTCAAGTGAAAGCCCAAGCCCTATAAACTTCATTTCTCCTTTCCTTCCTTTCCTTTACCTTCTCCTAGGGTTCCAAGAGGTGTGGGGTGAGAGTGGAGTGAAAGAAATGAGGGTAAAGGGGCTGAAATCAATGTTTTAAACACAGCCAACCCCAAAAAATACTATTCACAGTCTGTTTTTGTTTTCTCCAAAATAACGGTTTTGCCACTAAGAATCTCCAATTTGATCCATATGACTACCCTAAAATTTTTCGACGTTCCGGATTCATTTTTAATGTTATTTTAACCTAAAAATATTTATTTTTATGATTTATTTCAAAATTAAAATAAATTTATACTCGAAACATTAAAATTATTATTTTATTCCTCCCTAGTATTTATTTTTACAGTTTTAATGTATATGGTTTATTCTTACATCATTACATATATAAGAATCACTAAACAAGTATATTACTATATTAAGATAAACATGTGGGGATTTACACCTTCAAAGTCTAAGAAGAAAATACAACACTTCACTATCCAAGGAACACCACAGTATAGATTTTTGATCAACTTCGGAGAATAAACTGATTTGAATCAGTTATTTCTAGTATGGGTGACCTATATGGTTGGAAAGATATATGAGTTATGGTTCTAACAAAAATAACGGTGCACAATTTGGACTTTTCAACAAATAGTTATGATCAAATTGGTGAAAGGTAGTCTGTCGGACTGCTTGGTTCTTCTATATTTGTCTAACTCGAGTTTGTGTGTCTTTTGTCACAAATTCTATCTCATACCCATATCCAATATAGATAGTATGACTTGTATAAAGATCCATGTCTAGCATCATTTATTACCAAAACTAAATTATCATCCGTCTCCTAAAATCATTTATAACAACATGATGTAGAACTAGTATATTCATCAACATTTTTCTTCAATTCCTCTAAGCTAGCTAATTGATGAAAATGCAAAATGTCATATTTTTTTTCTTTTAATATTTAGAATTTTATAATTATTTGGAGCCTAAATATACTTATTATTCTTATATTTTGATTTAGGATGTAAATGGAGACGTTAAATACAAAACGAAGCTAATTGGATGATTATTGATAGTTTAGACAAGTGGGGTTTTACAAAATCTACTTCCCCTAAAAACATTTCATGCCATGGGTATGTCAACAAAACATTTGTCACCATCCATGCTAACAATTCAAGGCTTTAATCAAATAGGGCAAAGAGCCCTAGGCACCATCGAAGTGAAGATTGAAATTAACAATTTTCACATGGAGGGCATTTTTCATGTCATAGATGCTGATATGACATACAATGTGTTGTTAGGATGTTCATGACTGCATGTTAATGGTGTCATTCCCTCCACACTCCACCAAGTTTTCAAGTTTTATAAAGATGGGGAGAAAAAGACAGCAGTGGCAAATCCAAATCCATTTGAGAGTGAAGAGGTGAACTATGTTGATGCCAAGTTCTATAAAATGACAAATTCTCATTTTTCTGTTGATAGCCAAAAGGATAAAGAAGCTATAATGAGGAATAAGGGTAGCTCCAAACCATCAACTTCTCAATTATCAAAAGCTTCAAAAGTTATCCCAGCCAAGAAAACTCCTAAAATGGTCCAAAAAGGTCAAGTTTCAATTGCATCGAAGGAAAGATTGGTTCTGAAGTATGTACCAAAAGAGCAAGGAAAATTAAAATAAGAAGTTTTGACTTCAGTTCGAGATACAATGTCATCACTTACTATAAGTTACACATGTCCTCTTTGAAGGATTAATCAATCAATCCCTCAAGACATCGTAATCTCAACCACATTTGGAGAGGATGAAAGTTAGACAAATAGATTTGTTTTCTTTAAAGAGAGAACATCAAATTTTCCTTCATCATCATCTCCATACAATTTGGGACCCCAAAAGAGTAAAGTTTTCTTTAAGAAGGGGAAAAAGAAAGTCATAACTTGCCAGAAAGATGACATTTCCTAGACTTCCTTTTCCAAGACAATAGTTTTCACTGATAAAGAACAAGCTAAGTTCAATGAAGAGGAGGGTGGCAAAAAGCCTCGAGTTTCATTTTTTCAATGACTTGGAGGTTATTCAAAGCCTACATTCCAAAAGTCCAATGTGAACAAGAAATGGAAGCTGAAGCAGAAAATTCAAAGAAGAATTG